TTCTAAAACTTTTGACAGGTATTGTATATAAATGAATAAAGTGAATTAAAGTTTGAATAATTAAATAATACATACAGTGGGGAGAACAAGTATTTGATACACTGCCGATTTTGCAGGTTTTCCTACTTACAAAGCATGTAGAGGTCTGTAATTTGTATCATAGGTACACTTCAACTGTGAGAGACATAATCTAAAACAAAAATCCAGAAAATCACATTGTATGATTTTTAAGTAATTATTTTGCATTTTATTGCATGACATAAGTATTTGATCACCTACCAACCAGTAAGAACTCCGGCTCTCACAGACCTGTTAGTTTTTCTTTAAGAAGCCCTCCTGTTCTCCACTCATTACCTGTATTAACTGCACCTGTTTGAACTCGTTACCTGTATAAAAGACACCTGTCCACACACTCAATCAAACAGACTCCAACCTCTCCACAATGGCCAAGACCAGAGAGCTGTGTAAGGACATCAGGGATTAAATTGTAGACCTGCACAAGGCTGGGATTGGCTACAGGATAATAGGCAAGCAGCTTGGTGAGAAGGCAACAACTGTTGGCGCAATTATTAGAAAATGGAAGTTCAAGATGACGGTCAATCATCCTCGGTCTGGGGCTCCATGCAAGGTCTCACCTCGTGGGGCATCAATGATCATGAGGAAGGTGAGGGATCAGCCCAGAACTACACGGCAGGACCTGGTCAATGACCTGAAGAGAGCTGGGACCACAGTCTCAAAGAAAACCATTAGTAACACACTACGCCATCATGGATTAAAATCCTGCAGCGCACGCAAGGTCCCCTTGCTCAAGGCAGCGCATGTCCAGGCCCGTCTGAAGTTTGCCAATGACCATCTGGATGATCCAGAGGAGGAATGGGAGAAGGTCATGTGGTCTGATGAGACAAAAATAGAGCTTTTTGGTCTAAACTCCACTCGCCGTGTTTGGAGGAAGAAGAAGGATGAGTACAACCCCAAGAACACCATCCCAACCGTGAAGCATGGAGGTGGAAACATCATTCTTTGGGGATGCTTTTCTGCAAAGGGGACAGGACGACTGCACCGTATTGAGGGGAGGATGGATGGGGCCATGTATCGCGAGATCTTGGCCAACAACCTCCTTCCCTCAGTAAGAGCATTGAAGATGGGTCGTGGCTGGGTCTTCCAGCATGACAACGACCCGAAACACACAGCCAGGGCAACTAAGGAGTGGCTCCGTAAGAAGCATCTCAAGGTCCTGGAGTGGCCTAGCCAGTCTCCAGACCTGAACCCAATAGAAAATCTTTGGAGGGAGCTGAAAGTCCGTATTGCCCAGCGACAGCCTCGAAACCTGAAGGATCTGGAGAAGGTCTGTATTGAGGAGTGGGCCAAAATCCCTGCTGCAGTGTGTGCAAACCTGGTCAAGACCTACAGGAAACGTATGATCTCTGTAATTGCAAACAAAGGTTTCTGTACTAAATATTATGTTCTGCTTTTCTGATGTATCAAATACTTATGTCATGCAATAAAATGCAAATTAATTATTTAAAAATCATACAATGTGATTTTCTGGATTTTTGTTTTAGATTCCGTCTCTCACAGTTGAAGTGTACCTATGATAAAAATTACAGACCTCTCTACATGCTTTGTAAGTAGGAAAATCTGCAAAATCGGCAGTGTATCAAATACTTGTTCTCCCCACTGTATATACAGTGAGGGAAAAAAGTATTTGATCCCCTGCTGATTTTGTACGTTTGCCCACTGACAAAGAAATGATCAGTCTATAATTTTAATGGTAGGTTTATTTGAACAGTGAGAGACAGAATAACAACAAAAAAATCCAGAAAAAAACGCATGTCAAAAATGTTATAAATTGATTGGAATTTTGATGAGGGAAATAAGTATTTGACCCCCTCTCAATCAGAAAGATTTCTGGATCCCAGGTGTCTTTTATACAGGTAACGAGCTGAGATTAGGAGCACACTCTTAAAGGAGTGTGGCAGCTTGGTCAGAAGGTGACAACAGTTGGTGCAATTATTAGCAAATGGAAGAAACACAAAATAACTGTCAATCTCCCTTGGCCTGGGGCTCCATGCAGCTGGGACCATAGTCACCAAGAAAACAATTGGTAACACACTACGCCGTGAAGGACTGAAATCCGGCAGCGCCCGCAAGGTCCCCCTGGTCAAAAAAGCACATATTCATGCCCGTCTGAAGTTAGTGAACATCTGAATGATTCAGAGGAGAACTGAGTGAAAGTGTTGTGGTCAGATGAGACCAAAATGGAGCTCTTTGGCATCAACTCAACTCGCCGTGTTTGGAGGAGGAGGAATGCTGCCTATGACCCCAAGAACACCATCCCCAACGTCAAACATGGAGGTGGAAACATTATGCTTTGGGGGTGTTTTTCTGCTTGGGGACAGGACAACTTCACTGCATCAAAGGGACGATGGACGGGGCCATGTACCGTCAAATCTTGGGTGAGAACCTCCTTCCCTCAGCCAGGGCATTGAAAATGGGTCGTGGGATGGCTATTCCAGCATGACAATGACCCAAAACACACGGCCAAGGCAACAAAGGTGTGGCTCAAGAAGAAGCACATTAAGGTCCTGGAGTGGCCTAGCCAGTCTCCAGACCTTAATCCCATAGAAAATCTGTGGAGGGAGCTGAAGGTTCGAGTTGCCAAACGTCAGGCTCGAAACCTTAATGACTTGGAGAAGATCTGCAAAGAGGAGTGGGACAAAATCCCTCCTGAGATTTGTGCAAACCTGGTGGCCAACTACAAGAAACGTCTGACCTCTGTGATTGCCAAAAGGGTTTTGCCACCAAGTACTAAGTAATGTTTTGCAGAGGGGTCAAATACTTATTTCCCTCATTAAAATGCAAATCAATTTATAACATTTTTGACATGCGCTTTTCTTGATTTTTTTGTTGTTATTCTGTCTCTCACTGTTCAAATAAACCTACCATTAAAATTACAGACTGATCATGTCTTTGTCAGTTGGCAAACGTACAAAATCAGCAGGGGATCCCTATTAGGGTGTGGTGCCTGGCTGTAGAATTCCATTAATTCCTATGGAGGACTTCTTTTCTGAGTAGTGCCAATATGTCCTCTCATTGGTCAATACATAACATCAGCAATCCAGAGGTGGCAAGTAACCTAGCGGTTAGAGAGTTGGACCAGTAACCGAAAGGTTAAAACTCTGTCAATTTGCCCTTGAGCAAGGCACTTAACCCTAATTTGCTCCAGTGGCGCTGTACTTCTATGACTGACCCTGTAAAACAACACGTTTCACTGCCCCTATCCAGTGTATTTGACAATAAAACATCTTATTCTTATAAATTGTCGTGGAAATTCTACACAGGGACACTCGAAGTCAAACTCAAAGTAATCATTGTTTATTAACAGCAAGCTGGAGAGGTCACAGTCAAACTTAGATGCATAAAGTACCGGTCTGAAGTGAGCTCTCTCGGGGCAGTCCCGTTAGATCTCTTATACTGCTTACAGTCACGTTACATAGGCATAGTTCATAGGGTTGGTTCCGGCATGTGTCTGGAACCATCTCCTATCTTAACTTATAGAACATATTCTGGGCGTTCTGCCAAATGGTCCTAAGGAGGAGGTCATGCTGATCCTCCTCATATCTTTACCAAGCACAGGCAGGAACCAATTATTATTTATGACACAAAAGAAAATATGAAAATGTTCAAGGCTGTCTCTTCACATGATACAATTTTCCATCACTATACATCATGTTGCTGGAGATCAGAAGTGTCAGGGTCAGAGTAGTACAGAAGGAGTCGTATTCTGAGGCAGTGAAGAGAGTAGTAGAGGAAGATGGGTCCAGGGCAAGGGATCCTAAGAGGCTCCCTGTGAGTAGGCAGAGGCCAATAGAGAGTGATAGGAATACCATATGCTTCAGTAAGGTTGGCTTCTTAGCATTCATAGCCATGGTTATCAACTGTACCACATAAATGGAATGTAAATCACATAAAATAGATGTGGTGGCAGCTGCAGAGAAGTACTTGGGTATACGGGATGGTTGAACGATGGTTTCCCGTCCTCCCAAGCTGCCGGCATGGTGTAGGATCAGATAGGGCCAAGTAGTGTAATACTGGTGAGTTGTTAGTTTATAGGGCAATATTTCTTCCCTTTTCCCCGTCCTTTTCCCTTCCATTTTCATATAGCTGTATAGGGCCTCGCACTCCAGTACAGGAGGTGGCGGTGTATGCACTTCTTAGTTTGATGCGACCCGCCAATACAATTTAAAGAAGAAGAACGGTGGGGCCTATTCAAGAAGGTGTGCTTATGGCGGTGACGGAGATTGCGGTAAATAGCTTGCTAAATAAGTTAAATATGAACTCAGTTATTGATTTCTTCATTCTGTTTGTTTAACGGTTGTGCGTATACATCTCTTGTGGGAGCTATTGGTTTATTCCCATTAACCATGTTTAATTCACAAAACCTGAATTTAGGCATGCGGCCTTTTATCAGCTAGCTAGCTAACGTTAGCTTGCTCTCTACTGCGACAATTTGCTCCTGGCTAATACTACTTAGCTACAAAAATGAAGCAATCGCTAAATGTATCGTATTTGTAACCAACTAATCATAGATAGAGCTGCTAGTGTGACATACTGTCGTTGGAATGCATGATTGAAAATGGTGAAACGCTAGCTAGCTAGCTAGCTAGCCTAACTATGATATGATGCGACGACCAGCTTAGCTAGCTAGCTACGTTAGCTAGTTAACTGACGTTAGCTCGCCTAACGTTAGCCTAACCAACGTTACATTGAGCTCCACTGAAGTGTATCAAGTTAGTCAACTAACTTAACTAACGTTAGCTATCTTTTGTACGTGCTTCTATGCTAACACTATGCGTTATATAGTAACTAACTAGCTACATAGTTATCTAGCTAAGTTAGTTGGAAATTAGCTAGGTAAACACTTGGTACAAATGGAGGATACCAAGTTTACCGCCTTGCAGCTGCTACCATATTAGTCTGAAGGCATTTTCTCTCTCTCAGACTTTTTGAATTGTTAAGGCTTCCCCATCACTCTTCCCCTTGGGGTTATCCTGCCTCTGGTGGTCCCAGCGTTTAGCAGGTTGTAGGTAAGGAGCTCATCTCTACGCACCCTTGTGCGTTCCAATCACTGGTGACTGGTCTGATTTTGTGCTTTTAGGCCTATAGCTACCCAAATCAAGATTAACTGATTCCCCTCCTCCAGTACGATATATGCACTGTGATGATTCCCAATCTCTGTACCTCAAATCTCTTAAAGATAGTGATAGTAGAAGAGAGATGTAGCCTACCAAATGTGCAGTGCATGGCACTGCAAATGTTAATTTCTCCAATTAATAAATGTTCCTGTCTCTGAGGATGCTCATATATGTATTAATGTATTTTTTTTCCTGCTGTGGTTCTTCAGGGAGGGACAGCTCTGATGATGGAGAATGGACAGGGCACAGGTGGGAAGCTTGGCCTTCCGCCTCTCACCCCAGAGCAGCAGGAGGCTCTACAAAGGGTGAGCCTACTACATAAACATTACTAAATACATGTGTATACGTAATGACTCAAGATCTGTCAATTTACCTGTGGTTCCATTATTCTCTCTAACGCTGACTGACTTTTCTTCAGGCAAAGAAGTATGCCATGGAGCAGAGCATTAAGAGTGTCTTGGTGAAGCAGACCATTGCCCATCAGCAACAGCAGCTCACGAACTTGCAGGTGAGACGTGCTGAATTCTCTACTCCTGCAACTAAACTCTCCATCCCCTTGATCATATGTTCTTATCTCTTAACACCAACCACATGCACTCAATTATAGCCTTGTTTCTAAGAGTAACTTGGACTATTAGCTAGATGGTCACATATCAAATTAATAGGATCAGCCTTAGTAACTTTGTAGTTATGAACATTACTTTATTGTTCAGTTGCACAAAAACATAGTAACCTCCTCCACAACTGCAGCACAGCATATACAAGTGTATTTCTCGATGATGGGATAGGGATGTTTGTCCTCTTGCTTCTGCCTCTTCTTTTTCAGTTGGAGAAGATCAACATGAAGACTTAGTTAAACATGTTGAATGTTTGGACTTGTTCTCACATAGGGCTTTTGAATGTCTTGAATGTGGGGTAATATTGTGAAATGCTTTGGGGCAGATTGGAGTGGGTGGGACTGCAGAGGGAAAGTCAAATCAGTCCTGAAAGCTTTTTAGGAGATGTGTGTCAAAGCTGATGTATAGCAAAGCAATAACATTTGAAAAAGCAAAGCTTAAATATATATCTAACCTACTTTTCAGCACCTTTTTCATCTTTACTGTCTTTCAGATGGCAGCAGTGACAATGGGCTTTGGAGATCCTCTCTCACCTTTACAATCGGTCAATAGATTATTAAACTTTTTTCTCTGTTCGCATTCCTCTTAAAAAGGACGGTTACCCTTCTTTGATTGGCCATCTGCCCTCAGTCCTAGCCATAGCAGCTGACCAAAGAAAGCATATTTCAAAAGAAGACATGGTTTTTAATATTATAATTATGAGGGACCAGTTCTTACACACACACTGTTTCTGCTTAATTCAGTCTGGTTAATGAAACCGTGTGTTTGTATGCCCACTGCACCATTTCAGAAGAAATGCCCTGAAGTACTTCCACTAGTGGCGACAGCTGTTAGTTGATGTAGTTTTTTTTTTATACTGATAGTGATTTATAATGGGACTTTGGGTTATGTATGATGAATTCGTACATTTGAGCACAATACAAACTTCATCAGTGCATTTTAGCAGTACATCATGATGGCTTTTTACGCTAGCCTGAAATGGCTATCCAAGAGGGGTCGAGAATATTAACATGGGGAAGACCATGTCTTCTTTATAAATATGCTGTTACTTTGCATTGATTGAAGCTGAAAAAGCCAGCTTTGGTGTGGGGCTAAAGAGGGTTAGCAGTCTCTTTCAATAACCAAAAACAAGAGAACTGCTCAAACAGGAATCACTTTTTGGCAATCTCAAATTTTATGTTGTAATAGGGGGAAACACTTTTCTCTTCTCTAATAGATTAGGCTGTTAGTTTTGCCTGTGGGTGATAGTAAAAGCAGCTATGCTCAAGTAAAAATACTTGAGTAAAGGACCCAGTAAACTCTGCTTTCAGTGGTTAACCATCCCTCCCTCCCCTTAGAGACGTAAGTGTAAAATGTTTTCCTTAGGCTTTTTATGGATGCTTTTCAACTGATATAGGTGTTTATTTCATTTGTTTGCCATGTTGAAATGTGTCACAATATACAGTATATGCAGCCCTGGACTACAGGTCAGTTTCAGGAGCCAAATATTAGCGAAAGACATTCATGTTATCACCTTCACTGCTTTCACCCATATTAATGCAGTAATGAGAAAAACATTTTTACGTTGCTTGCATTTACCAAATTGTTAATCTTTGTATAGTTTAGTAATAGTCGCAAAATCGTTGTTCAGGACTCATGTTGCATATGCCCAGATTGCATCCATCCCTGACATTGGCCTGTATGTCTATTGTTGGGAAAAGCAAACACCATACAGAAATTAAAAAATATGTATGTACATAATGAGATTTCAATGAAAGAAAATCACAATTTACCCATACACAGATTGATTTGGTGTGTTCTTGCTTTCTTAGACACCCTAAACATCATGGTGTGTTTTTCTCCGTGGTTACCAGGTGGCGGCTCAGCGGCAGCGTGCTCTAGCCATCATGTGCCGGGTGTATGTGGGCTCCATATACTATGAGCTTGGGGAGGACACCATCAGACAGGCCTTTGCCCCTTTTGGCCCCATCAAGAGCATTGACATGTCATGGGACTCCGTTACAATGAAGCACAAGGTCAGTGTATAGAGCACCCTTAAACTACATCACACAGCATTGCAATATGATTAGAATTTAGATCTGTAATAAATAATGTGAGGGGAAACTTTTAAAGCACAACTGGAGAATGTGGCATGCACGTGTCTGTAATGCAGTGGACTGTTGTTCCATGGTTGTGTGTCTGTCTGTGCAGGGCTTTGCCTTTGTGGAGTATGAGATCCCGGAGGCGGCACAGCTGGCTTTGGAGCAGATGAACTCAGTCATGCTTGGGGGCAGGAACATCAAGGTGAGTGGCCTGGAGAGGCAGCCTGTCCGGCCCAGTGGAAGTGGACCTCTCAGAACCCCCTCTCTATACCCCTGGAAAGAGGGGTGCTCCTGCTATCATCTTTTTAACCTTTATTTTTTATTTTATTTTTTATCGAGAACGCATGGAACCAGTTTGAAATCCTCATTTCGCTCTTTCCGTGTAACTGCACTATTATTTCTGTGTGAATCACTAATTGGTAGTCTCTAAATTCTGTATGGAAGTGTATCTAAAGCCACTCATTTCTTTGTCTTTCTTTGCTTGTATGTATGTCAATTCATTTACAGGTATGCGTGTGTGTTTGGGTGCGTGTGTGCGCACATGCGCACGGGTGTGTTTTTTTGTGAATGTCTGTGCTGTGTTCTGCTTCCATGATGTCATCACCACATTGTTTTAGTGACCAGTTCCTCTAGGATGCCCGGGCAGCGTGTGATGATGCGTTGCTCTGTGTCCGAGATGTGCTGATGATGGGCTGCGCCTGGTTGGTGTCGCTTGGCCGCCCCACCTGCAGCACAGATCATATACTACATAGCCGCTCATAGAGAAGCTCCAAACACTAGCCTATAGATGGACAGTTGTGAGAGGAGATACCTCCGACATTTCGGTCCTAGAAAGTGTAGTGCCAGCCACACGTGTGGTTTTATCTTGTTCATTTTATAAGCATTTCCACTATCTGATCCTCAGCTGCAGCTCTGGCTGAGGCAATCTGAACATTCCTTTTAGTGTTGTTCAAACGTGCCTAAGTGAGTGAAGCAGCTATTACAGTAGAAATATATTCTAGACGGGCTATTTTCTTGATCTCTTTTTTTAAAAAATTTATTACGTGTGATCTTCGCTATAGTTAATTTCCAGGTGACGATTTTAAAGTGAACATCTAAGTTGTTGGTATGTTGTCAGTTTCCATAATCTAGAAAGAAAAGGGGGAGTGTGAGAGAAAAAAAAGTGTCAATAGAAGGCATTGTCTCTAGGTTATAGTGCAGGTTGTCAAGTTTTATATCACTCGTATTACCTAAGCCTTTGCAGAAAGCCCTGGTGGAAAGATGCTGTTTAGCAAGGCTATTGGAAACTTGGCGAATAATACATTGGGCTGCAATTACATTTTAGTCATTTAGCGGACGCTCTTATTCAGATTGACTTACAGTGAGTGCATACATTTTTTTGTTACTTTTTCGTACTGGTCCCCGTGGGATTCGAACCCACAACCCTGGCGTTGCAAGCGCCATGCTCTTCCAACTGAGCCACACGGGACCAATTGCAAAGAGAAATGGTATCCTACGATCTCTAATTGCATTGCTCCAGTTGAAGGCGTTAGGTGGTTTTGTAGCTCGAGGTGTTGCGTTGCTCGGTCAGTGGCTGTGACACCCCACTCATTGGCCCTGTGCTGGTATCTGTGCTGTAGGTGGGGCGGCCAGGTAACATTGGTCAGGCGCAACCCATCATCGACCAGCTGGCAGAGGAGGCGCGCGCCTACAACCGGATCTTCGTGGCCTCCGTCCACCCTGACCTCTCAGACGAGGACATCAAGAGCGTCTTTGAGGCCTTCGGGAGGATCAAGTCCTGCACGTTAGCCAGGGACCCCACCACGGGAAGACACAAGAGCTTTGGCTTCATCGGTGAGCAGAGAGGCGTTTGGCGGCCCTCAGGATGTGCTGTTGCTGTGTGTTTGTTCTCCTAATTCCTCTTTCCCCCCCTCTCTCCCTGGCAGAGTATGACAAGCCCCAGTCGTCCCTGGACGCAGTGTCCTCCATGAACCTGTTTGACCTGGGGGGCCAGTATTTGCGGGTGGGCAAGGCCGTCACCCCGCCCATGCCCATGCTGACTCCCACCCAGCCTGGTGGCCTGCCGCCCGCTGCAGCCGTGGCTGCTGCAGCAGCCACCGCTAAGATAACGGCCCAGGCAAGTATGATTCCCTTCCAAAGGGATCTATTGGCCTTCCAGGTAAATATACCTCTGATATACAGTGAGCTCCAAAAGTATTGGGACAGCGACATGTTTTGTTGTTTTGGCTCTGTACTCCAGCACTTTGGATTTGAAATGATACAATGACTGAGGTTAAAGTGCTGACTGTCAGCTTTAATATGAGGGTATTTTCCATCTGTATCGGGTGAACCATTTAGAAATTACATCACTTTTTATACATAGGGGACCAAAGTATTGGGACAAATTCACTTATGTGTATTAAAGTAAAAATATTTGTGCAGGCCTCGCAAGTGGCGCAGCGGTCTAAGGCACTGCATCGCAATGCTTGAGGCGTCACTATAGATCCGGGTTCGATCCCAGGCTGTGTCGCAACCGGGAGACCGATCAGGCGGCACACAATTGGCCCAGCGTCGTCTGGGTTAGGGGAGGGTTTGGCCGGCCGGGATGTCCTTGTCCCATCACGCTCTAGCGACTCCTGTGGCTGGCTGGGCGCATGCACGCTGACTTCGGTCGCCAGTTGTACGGTGTTTCCTCTGACATATTGGTGCGGCTGGCTTCCGGGCTAAGCGAGCAGTGTGTCAAGAAGCAGTGCGGCTTTGCATGGTCATGTTTCGGAGGATGCATGGCTCTCGACCTTCGCCTCTCCGGAGTCCGTACGGGAGTTGCAGCGATGGGACAAGACTGTAACTACTTATTACAATAAGTGACTCCAAAATGACTACTTTATTTACCATTAATTTCTATTGGGCACAAAATAATCTGAAACGCAACCAAAACAAACAGCAAATGCATCCACGCTTGATGTAGTCATTGCATGCTATGAATATAGGACCAAATACTAAACTTTTTAATACAATACACAAGTGAATTTGTCCTGATTTTTATTTTTGTTCCCCTAAAAATGGGGGGACTATGAACAAAACGTTCTGTAATTTTGAAACGGTTCATCCGATATGAATGAAAATACTCTAATATTAAAGCTGAAAGTCTGCACTTTACCCTCCGTTATTGGATCATTTTAAATTCAAAGTGCTGGAGTACAGAGCCAAAACAACAAAACATTTGTCACTGTCCCAATACTTTTGGAGCTCACTGTAGGTAGCTAGGTGTAACCATTATTTAAAATGTGCTAAGTAAAATTCATATACTAAAGATAGAAATGTAATGTATGTGCATATAAAGCTGAATATTCTATTTTCTGTGTGCAATAAGTAAGATATATTTTGATGTGCCCTGCCGTTGTAGAATTTGATATAATATTTGATGAATTGATAATGCAGAACCCATGCAGGGCAATATAAAGTATTCTATGTTCACTGCTCTGTGTTTGCTAACAAAATGTGCTGTGCCATATGTGCTTGTGATGTGAGCTCAACCCACGGTTGCAAAAGTTTATCCCCTGTGAAAAGAAGGCTGCCCCTCTTTCCTTGTCATTTTTAAGTACTATAATACTAAGAAGCAAAGCTCCTCCTGTAAACTATACTGAACAAAAATATAGATGCAACATGCAACAATTGCAAAGATTTTACTGGGTTACAGTTCACATAAAGAAATCAGTCATTTGAAATGCATTCATTAGGCCCTATTCTATGGATTTCACGACTGGGCAGGGGTGTAGCCATGGGTGGGCCAGGCCACTGGGGAGCCAGGCCCAGCCAATCAGAATGAGTTTTTCCCCACAAAAGGTTACACGTGGTCTGACGTTGGAGGCAGCTTATTGTAGAGAAATCAACATTCAGTTCTCTGGCAACAGCTCTGGTGGACATTCCTGCAGTCAGCATGCCAATTGAACGCTCCCTCAAAACTTGAAACATCTGTGGTGTTGTGACAAAACTGCACATTTTAAAGTGACCTTTTATTGTCCCCAGCACAAAGTGCCCCTGTGTAATGATCATGCTATTTAATCAGCTTCTTGAGATGCTACACCTGTCAGATGGCTAGATTATTATGGCAAAGTAGAAATCCTAACTAACATGGATGTAAACAAATTTGTTCACAAAATTTCAGAAATAAGCTTTTTGTGTGTATGGAACATTTTCTTGGATTATTTTTTTCGAGCTCATGAAACATGGGACCAACACTTGTGTTTATATTGTTGTTCAGTGTCATTGGTTGTGGAAGCTAATTACTCCCTGGAGTCTCACTGCTCAAGCAAGCACACACCCTCACTGCTATATCTGGCACTGGCAACAGTAGTCATAGTTCTGTTTAGTAATAAATAGTCTTATGAGTTAAATTGATGTTTATATTGACAAGTTTTAGTAGTAGAATATATTATATATATTATTTTATGTATATTGGCCTGGCACTATAGTAATCTGACATGAGCCTTGAGGACAGGAGAGTAGGGTTGGGCTATTTTACCATAGTGTCGGATATTGAAGATGATTGACAGCCATCGTTGATGGTGATTACATTGTGATGTGACAGACGATGTATAGCCTATTTCAACTTGACTGACACCGCAGTAAAAAGCTGACCGGGCAGCCCACAGCACTGCCACGCCAAGTGGCCTATTCCTTAGGTTATGCAGGCTATAGCAATTTCAATAAATATGTTATAAACAATTTACAGAATGAAAGAGAACAATGTAGACAGAGCTAAGATTTTTACCAAAGCAGCACAAAATGTCCAGTCAGAATAATTAATTTTTTCCTATGTTGGATGATCTGGGCCATATAGTTGAAGCCTATTTAATTTTTTATAGTGGACACTAAAAGCCCAATTCTGTATTTTCTCTCCATTTGATATGAATGTCTTTCTCCCGCTGCACTATTCATGATCAAACAATGAATTTATCTGCGTTCTAGGCTTTATCTAAAGGAGTTCTCAAACTTAAGTAATTTTGGAATAACCTGATGGGCCTAAGATGAGGTAGAACAAACAATAGCAAGATAGAAAAATCGAACGAGTAGTTTGAAGAAATCTTAAAGTTGTGAAAAGCTATAAAAATCATATCATGCACGCATCCCTCTTGCCGTTGCGAACCAAATGGCCAAAGTCCAAATCCTACTAATTAAAATAGCCTATCAAAAGTATTAAGACAAGTTAAAGTTATGAAGAGTGTTTTCCAAATAGGATATTCTAATTGTGTTTAATGTCCTAAAGTTGCAGCCTTCAAATAAACTCAGCAAAAAAAGAATCTTCCCTGTTTCAGGACCCTGTCTTTCAAAGATAATTTGTAAAAATCCAGATTACTTCACAGATCTTCATTGTAAAGGGTTTAAACGCTGTTTCCCATGCTTGTTCAATGAACCATAAACAATTAATGAAAATAACGCAGGTGACAGTGAGGACGTTTCTTTTTTTGTTGAGTTTAGTAACATTTGTGAAAGTCAGTCTATAGGCTATTTTTTATGAATGACAACTATTACAGGCAACAAGAAGTGAAATTGAGCAAACAATATAAAGATGGAAAAATCAAATGAAGTCAAAAGAATTTACAGCTGAGCAAAGCTTATGAAAGAAACTGTGTAGAGTAGGCCTATTTCCATAGCCTTTTATTAGCAATGTAGGCTACAACCTACTTACAACTTATAGAGGAGCTTAGGCCTAATAAGAGAAAGATTAGGCAAAAATGATCCAGTTCTGGGGACAGCAAAGTTGCGTGCTCTGCAGCCGCGCCCATCACATGACGCACAGCCAGCGAGGCTCCTGACTGTCACTTGTGCGTCGGCACACACACACACCTCTTTCGTGCAACAGTTCCAATAGCGAGGAATAGGCTACTAAAAAAAGATTTGGCTCTAAAATATATTTTGTCATGATTCCTCTCATCCCTCCCATAGGCTACATTTCCTTTCGTAGGATAGCCGGAGGCAAAGTCATCATTATCCGTTGGATGATTGGTTGAGCCTTCTTGGTTGCGTGACATCACTCCGAGCCCGTACCAAAATACAAAACATGGCTGACAACTTATCTCGCCTCGGATCTAAAACCAGTAGTAACCACCAACTTCAATGATGGTTATCTTAAAAATAAAATGCATATCATTAGGCCCTAATCTATGGAATTCACGACTGGGAATACAGATATGCATCCATTGGGCACAGATGCCTTAAAAAATAGGTAGGGGGGTGGATCAGAAAACCAGTCAGTATCTGGTGTGACCACCACTTGCCTCATGCATCACGACACATCTCCTTCGCATATAATTATTCAGGCTGTTGATTGTGGCCTGTGGAATGTTGTCCCACTCCTCTTCAATGGCTGTGCGAAATTGCTGGATATTGGCGGGAACTGGAACATGCTGTCGTACACGTCGATCCAGAGCATCCCAAACTTGCTCAATGGGTGACATGTCTGGAGAGTATGCAGGCCATGGAAGAACTTTGACATTTTCAGCTTCCAGGAATTGTGTACAGATTCTTGCGACATGGGGCTGTGCATTATCATGCTAAAACATGAAGTGATGGCGGTGGATGAATGGCACGACAATGGGCTTCAGGATCTCATCACAGTATCTCTGTGCATTCAAGTTGCCATCGATAAAATGCAATTGTGTTCGTTGTCCGTAGCTTATGCCTGCCAATACCATAACCCCACCGCCACCATGGCACTCTGTTCACAATGTTGACATCAGCAAACCGCTTGCCCACACAATGCCATACACGTGGTCTGCGGTTGTACTGTCAAGTACGTCCAACCGACGTTGGATGCGGCTTATGGTAGAGAAATGAACATTCAATTCGCTGGCATTGTGTTGTGACAAAACTGCACATTTTAGTGTACTTTTATTGTCCCCAGCACAAGGTACACCTGTGTAATGATCATGCTGTTTAATCAGCTTCTTGATATGCCACACCTGTCAGGTGGATGGATTATCTTGGCAAAGGAGAAATGCCCACTAACATGGATATAAAGAAATGTATGCACAAAATTTGAGAGATAAAATATAGATAAACTTTTTGTGCGTAAGGAAAATTTCTGGGATCTTTTATTACAGCTCATGAAACATAGGACCAACACTTTATATGTTGCGTTTTCATATTTTTGTTCAGTATAGTTTATTCAGTGACCACTGCATTTAGAAGGATAGCTACCGACTGAAATGTAGCTAGCTAGCTCACTGGCCAGCCACTAACGTGACTAGCAAACTAATCGTGGATGACCTATTCTTTGATACATTTAGGTTAACTTGCTCATATCGAGCATTAGACAGCTTGTGGAAAGGTAGAAAAATAACAATTAGTGGACTCGTTTTATGAATGATCAGACAGTGAAACTGAAATCGATTGGGTTTCCCAAGTTGTTCAGTGCTTACTGCTCATGCTGGTGAGCAAGCTAAAGGCTTGTGACGTCACTCACCCAAGAAGGCTCAACCTTTGCCTCTGACTATCCTACGAAAGGAAATTTCATCTCCCGTAGCATGCGAGCTTGCGCTAGTGGTCCTTTTTAGCTGTCTTTTTTTTTTAACCGTTTTTTCTTCAATGTTTTTTGGGGGTTGGCCAATAGGAAGCAATATCATCGTATATCACTATGTTTTTATGGGTACTTAATCACGATAGGACAAAGGTTGACATCCCCCAACCCTAATGCAGAGTAGAACACTATACATGCTGTATGAAGTCTGACTGTGCAACCTCACTGTGTTTTCCTGCTAATGCGTCCCGCCCCTCTCTCAAGGAGGCTGTGACCGGGGCGTCCATCTTGGGGGCGATGGCCGGGGCGAACCAGATGGGCCAAATGGGTCAGATGGGTCAGATGGGTCAGATGGGCCAAATGGGTCAGATGGGCATCCCTCAGGCAGTCATGGCTGCCCAGGCCCCCGGAATGATCACAGGTGTGTATCGAGACATGTGTGAGTACAAAGAGTATTGTCCACTGACCTATGCACTCACTTAGGTCTGTTGGAATCTTGTTAGAGGATCGTTTAAATGATTTCAAGTGTGTATCTTATCTACTCAATGCTACAGTGTTGAGAGGGATTATCTGGTCAGCCAGGTTTTGTAGTTTTCCATCTGATCCTGCTCATTAGAGATTGTGTTAAAAAAAAACTTGACTACAGTTGGTTCACATGAGACCAGTTAGAGAAACAAGAAAATTGCAACAGAGGATTTGACTCATATGAATGGCCATGTCAGGTCTCGGAGAAACCATATCAATGAAAATTTATATTTGTATGGCTGATGCATGTGAATGTCCCTGTAGGTGTGACACCAGTGCGTCCTAACCTGCCAGTGCTGCCCCAGGTGGGCCTGGTCAACCCTGTGCTGGCCTCACCGCCCGTGATCACCAACCCAGCCCAACTCAACCCCTCTCTACAAGAGCTTCAGAAGAAGAAGCAGGAGGAGAAGGAGATGCTGCAGGATGGGACAGGCCAGGAGATGTTGAGCGACCAAGAACACATGAGCATTTCAGGAAGCAGCGCCAGACACATGGTCATGCAGAAACTGCTGAGGAAATCAGAGGTAAGATCAGACATGACGATATACAGTGCTTTCGGGATGGATTCAGACCCCTTGACTTTTTCCACGTTATGTTACAACATTCTAAAATTGATTTAAATTGTTAAATAAAAAAAAACAGATACCTTATTTAAATAAGTAGTCAGACCTTTTGCTATGAGACTCAAAATTGAGCTCAGGTGCATCCTGTTTCCATTGATCTTCCTTGAGATGTTTCTACAACTTGATTGTAGCCCACCTGTGGTAAATTAATTTGATTGGACATTATTTGGAAAGGCACACACCTGTCTAGATAAAGGTCCCACAGTTGACAGTGCATGTCAGAACAAAAAACATGTCATGAGGTCAAAGGAACTGTCCATAGAGCTCCGAGACAGGATTGCGTTGAGGCACAGATCTGGGGAAGGGTACCCAAAACTTTCTGCAGCATTGAAAGTCCCCAAGAACACAGTGGCCACCATCATTCTTAAATTGGAACCACCAAGACTCTTCCTAGAGCTGGTCGCCCGGCCAAACTGAGCAATCGGGGGAGAAGGGCCTTGGTCAGGGAGGTGACCAAGAACCAGATGGTCACTCTGACAGAGCTCCAGAGTTCCTCTGTGGCGATGGGAGAACCTTCTAGAAGGACAACCATCTCTGCAGCACTCCACTAATCAGATCTTTATGGTAGTGTGGCCAGACTGAAGCCACTCCTCAGTAAAAGGCACATGACCGCCCGCTTGGAGTTCGCTAAAAGGCACCTAAAGACTCTGACCATGAGAAACAAGATTCTCTGGTCTGATGAAACCAAGATTAAACTCTTTGGCCCCAATGCCAAGCGTCACGTCTGAAGGAAACCTGGCACCATCCCTACGGTGAAGCATGGTGGTGGCAGCATCATTCTGTTGGGATGTTTTTCAGCGGCAGGGACTGGGAGACTAGTCAGGATAGACGGAACGATAAACAGAGCAAAGTACAGAGAGATCCTTTATGAAAACCTGCTCAGGACCTCAGACTGGGGCGAAGGTTCACCTTCCAACAGGACAACGACCCTAAGCACACAGCCAAGACAACGCAGGAGTGGCTTCGGGATAAGTCTCTGAATGTCCTTGAGTGGCCCAGCCAGAGCCCGGACTTGAACCCGATCGAACATCTCTGGAGAGACCTGAAAATAGCTGTGCAGCAACGCATACCCATCCAACCTGACAGAGCTTGAGAGGATCTGCAGAGAACAATGGGAGAAACTCCCCAAATACAGGTGTGCCAAGCTTATAGCGTCATACCCAAGAAGACTTGAGGGTGTAATCGCTGCCTGTTTTTGCTTGTTCATTATGGGGTATATTGTGTGTAGATTGAGGATTTAAAATTTAAAAGAAAATCCATTTTAGAATAAGGCTGTAACGTAACAAAATGTGGAAAAAGTTAAGGGGTCTGAATACTTTCAGAATATACTTTTATTTGCCTTATTTAATAGCAAAAAAAAATCACTGAGAAATTGATATTTTAATGTAATGTGATTTGGGTAGGAATACATATTGACATGTTGTCTTGCTCCTCTCCAGTCTACGGTGATGGTGTTACGGAACATGGTGGGGCCGGAGGACATCGATGACGACCTGGAGGGTGAGGTGACAGAGGAGTGCGGCAAGTTTGGTGCCGTCAACCGGGTCATTATCTACCAGGAGAAGCAGGGGGAGGAGGAGGATGCCGAGATCATCGTCAAGATCTTTGTGGAGTTCTCCATGGTCTCAGAGATGAACAAGGCCATCCAGGCGCTCAACGACCGCTGGTTTGGGGGTCGCAAGGTCATTGCGGAGGTCTACGACCAAGAGCGCTTCAACAGTAGCGACCTCTCCGCATAAACTGTCTGAAATGGTCGCCCAACACCCATCCCATACCCGTTGCTCAAACTCACTTCAGCCACTGTCACTGCTGCTAGAGATTTGGGCCTCTTTTTAAAATGTAATATTTTTTTTTATTGATGTTGATGTTAATATTAATATTATTAATGGCCTCTTTTGAGGGATTGGTTAAGAAAAGAATATTTGCACCTCATGGATTTTGTTTTGTCACCTACTGTGAAGACTTTTGATTTATTTTGTATTATTTGCGGGTTTTTTTGTTATCAAATTGAGAAGTCATTAGGTTACCCCCATTTTAAGTTGTCAGGATTCTTTAAACACCGTTTTTAGAGCTATTGGTTCCCGTTTACCCACAAAAATAAATTCTTCAACTATGTGAATGTCTGTTGTGAATTTCTTATGGGTTTGGGAAGGAAAAATCTGATTTCAAATAATATTCCACATTTCTAGACATTTCAACAGAACTTAGTCATTTCAGTTGAAATTTCAATTATTAAATATACAGTAGCTATGACTGCAATTATTGACCTTTGGCTCTGAAGACCACTAATGAATATTTAATTTTTGTCAGCATCACTGGTTTGGGGAAAAAAAAATTCCTCAAGTTTTTATAAAGTGAGTTCAATCAATTTAGATACAGTATGTGCATAGACATGCATTGAACACATTTGAATGAGATCTGTTATTGTGTTTTATCAAGTTTCTGTTTATGGAATTCTCAAAGTTTTATAAAGCTTTTTTTATTTAAAACTTGTCTGTAGATTCTGAAGGCTCTTTTTTTCAAGGTTGAATAATTGACTGGTTGCAGCCTATTATAGGCTTAATCATACTGTATCTTTGCAAGTGTTGCACGAAAACGTGTTGGTAACTTTACTTCAACTGTCCAGCATTAATGTAGCTGAGGAAAGTTCAACTTTGTTCTCTTATACCGAGGCGGAGTATTGATAACTGGTGGCGCGATTTGCTAGCAACATTGAGTCACCATCCGTCGATAATTGTAGAAATGTCGATTCTGAAAACTTTTACCTGTACCTATGTTTGTCCTGTACAACTGCGGTCCTTCCGCGGGGTGCTGAAATTGATACTTTCAATCAAAACTTTTATGGAAAACCGACTTTTTCCTTATTTGTGTTGCTCAACTCAGCACAAATGTGCTTGTGCCAGTTGAATCTCAGTTTATGTAACATGTCAAGGCCGCTATGTCTCCAGTTGAGCAACACAAATTAGGAAAACGTTGGTTGTATTCTATACTGAACACATATAAATGCAACAATTTCAACGATTTTACTGAGTTACAGTTCATACAAGGAAATCAGTCAATTGAAATAAATTCATTAGGCCCTGATCTATGGATTTCACATGACTGGGCAGGGGCGCAGCCATGGATGGGCCTGGGAGGGCCTAGGCCCACCCACTTGGGAGCAAGGTCAACCCACTGGGGAACCGGGCCCAGCCAATCAGAATGAGTTTTTCCCCACAAAAGGGCTTTACTACAGACAGAAATACTCAGACGATCCCGCAGGTGAAGAAGCCGGATGTGGAGGTCCTGGGCTGGCGTGGTTACATGTGGTCTGACTTTGGAGGCAGTTTATGGTAAAGAAATTAACATTACATTCTCTGGCAACAGCTCTGGTGGACATTCCTGCAGCTTCCAATTGCATGCTCCCTCAAAACTTGAGACATCTGTGGTATTGTGTTGTGTGACGCACTCACTAACTGTAAATCGCTCTGGATAAGAGCGTCTGCTAAATTACTAAAATGTAAATGTGACAAAACTGCACATTTTAAAGTGGCCTTTTATTGTCCCCAGCACAAGGTACACCTGTGTAATTAAATGAAATTGTATTTGTCACATGCGCCGAGTACAACAGGTGTAGATCTTACAGTGAAATGCTTACTTACAAGCCCTTAGCCAACAATGGAGTTTTAAGAAAGAAAGAAAAGTAACAAATAATTAAAGAGCAGCAGTAAAATAACAATAGCGAGGCTGTATACAAGGGGTACCTGCACAGAATCAATGTGCGGGGGCACCTGTTAGTCGAGGTAATTGAGGTAATATGTACATGTAGGTAGAGTTATTCAAGTGACTATGCATAGATAATAAATAGAGCGTAGCACCAGCTTAAAAGAGGGAGGAGGGGGGGGGGGGGGGCAATGAAAATAGTCTGGGTAGCCATTTCATTAGATGTTCAGGAGTCTTATGGCTGGGGGATAGAAGCTTGGCAAAGGAGAAATGGTCACTGACAGGGATGTAAACATATTTCTGCACAAATCTTGAGATAAATAATATTTTTGAGCATATGGAACATTTCTGGGATCTTTTATTTCACCTCATGAAACATGTGACCAACACTTTACATGTTGCGTTTATATATTTTTTTCAGTATATAAAAGTTGTATTAAAAGTATAAATGTTATCACCCTGCAGAAGGACTGCAGTTGTACAGGACAAACATAGGTACAGGTAAGCGTTTTCAGAATTGACATATATCGACTGACAGGGATTCAATGTTACTAGCAAATCGCGCGACCAGTTATCAATACTCAACTCCATCTCCATATGAGAGAACTGAGTTGTGTTCCTCAGCAAGCATGAATGAGGTCACATATCTACCTGTCAGCGGGCTCACTCTTGACAATCTACGATAGGCCTACGCATTTGGTTTAATTTAAGTCTACTTCGCTTTCATTACCGCTAGATGGGGCAATTTGATAAGAAACAAAAGCAGAGTGGTTTCACTACGAACCTAAAGGCAACCATCTTCTAAAAGGCATATTGAAGACCTCCTAGGCCCTTGGGGTCGCTATTACCGATGTGCAGTTTTGGGTGCTTGCCGAGGGAGGGAGAAGTAATTAATGGATGCACTTCATTTTCTTTTCCTATATATATGTGGCCGCGCTGGCCGGCGTACGCAGTCATACCCGCGTGGAGGGCGGTAGTTGTCCTCCAAAAACCAAGAATCCACAATTATAAAAATAGTGCAATATTATCTCTAGTTTGATGTCTATTACTATGAAGTAAATGTTGAGTATGTAGTAGGTAGACGTGTGGGCCGTGAGATGAGCGGCGTAGAAAGTGCGTCTTTGCATCTTCGGGAGGTGTCAGTTGAAGGGGGTGTAAATCGTGCACACCCAGCCACAACAACAATAAGGAGGAGCCACTGGGCGGAGCTGGAAGGTCGTGGTTAGCACTCCCCACCACATTCTTACAACAGCACCACACACCCGGCCGGAAAGTGAGGAAGCTCCCCAGCGGAGTATTTAACTACAGAGGTTTCGTTCAGACCGGTATTTTGTCAAATAGCGAAGGTTTGTTCGCTAAATGAAGACTGAGCCAAAAGCCCGAAGACCCACACAGGTTGCCCGCGTCACCTCAGACTTCTGTGTGGCCCTCCAGACGAGCACAGCTTGCCACAAAGCGGCGGTACCTCCGGTTTAGTGAAAATAATCCTGTTGCTGATATTGTGGGTTCAACATTTGTTACTTTAAACGCTTCATATAACTTCTAGTTATTCTTTTAGTGCAAATAGCTATTGAAAGACTGCCAATTGTCAGTTTCGAATTTGGAAGGTCGTTATATTGCAGTTTGTTTCCGTAGCTTAAAGAGACACGGGAGATCACAAGGTGGCTAACGTTAGCGACTAGCTCGCGACACAAACGAGTTCCATCTCTCCATACGCAACTTCGAGAGGTCGTTCCGTGTGCTTACACGGGACTATTCGCATTAAGCAGCAGAACACACATTTGTAACGGGGAAACAAATAATATTTGCCTAGTTAGTTAGCTATCTTGCTGGACAGGTCAGCTTCCTTGTATCAAATAACAAATGGGCTAGTGCTAGCTAACGGTGGCTGGGCTGCTTTTATTATTGTCACACAACTATGGAAATGAAAACGATAACGTTAATTTAGTAGTTTGTGTTTTTAGATTATCATCAAACCGTATGATGGCAAGCTAACAATGAAGGAAGATAGCTAAAGTTCATATTCTATTTGTATGTATCAATCACATTTTAGTTGGATTTGAGTCGCTGAGAGCCAACGAAAAGGACTGGAATTGGGATATCAATTGACGATCGGAATTATTTCTGTCCCTGGTTTTAACCGGATTTTTGTCCTCTTTGGATCGACGTGGGAGCAGCGGGATTTCGACGTCCAGTCTTATCTGTCACTGTCGATATTTTGTCCTCTCCATCCTCCCCCACAACCTTTACCCGTTTCTCTCTCCGATGCGGATTGTTGAGTAGCACCGGCAACCAAATCCATACGGCAGCCGGACATGCTGAAGTGTATCCCTTTGTGGCGCTGTAACCGCCACGTCGAGTCCGTGGACAAGCGACATTGCAATTTGCAAAATGTCCCCGAAGAGATATTCCGCTACAGCCGCAGTCTGGAGGAGCTTCTCCTCGACGCCAACCAACTCCGAGATCTACCCAAAGTAAGCAACCAGTGGTTATCATTAGGCACACATTGTGGCCTATCTTGGCCGTCCAAATCATTATCAGGCATGGTCAAATCTAGGCATGCAACCATGAGAAACCCCCATGGGACAGGTGGCTGATGTTTTGATTGTCTGCCTGTCACGCATCTGTAAACATTAGTCAACTTCATCAGTATTTAATCAACTGAGCATAGTAACTAACTAATGCAGGAAGAACATTGTTTATTTTGTGGCTTAAATGTCATTTATTCATATTCCAAACACTGTCTTGGGTGAATGTTGTAGCTCCATTCATATTATGGGGGTTACGACTGTATACACAGAAAGGTATGATGTTACCTGTATGTCCTATTCTTGCATTGCATAACCATTGACAATGGGAATCAAAGCAACTGGGATAGGAGGCTGGTTGGGCTGTGCTCAGATTAAAATTGATGTCAGCAGAGAATAGGAATCCGAGGAGAAACGGGCCTCTTCCTGCCTTGGATGCTTGCTGTTGGAGTCACAGGCAGAGGCTCATGCTGCAGTGGAGTGGGTGTGCTGCCTGATATCAAATGTGGAGACGGACTCAGCTGATGAAAGGAGCTGGCTGGCACGCACTACGTTGCCTGCAATAACTGCACGGTCCAGTGGGATTGGAAACGGTCAGTGCTATCAGGGATCCTTGGGACGTCCCTACCCTAAACCCTAACCAAAACCCTAACCATTTTACATTTCAACTTCAATGGGGTAGGGATGTCCTAAGGATTCCGGATAGCACGGAACCGATTGGAAACCAAGAGGGGGGAGGCATTTGTGGAATGAGTCTCTCCCTCATCCTCTTCCACCCACCCACACTCCTCCTACATGAAAAATGACAAAAGCTCTGCTTGCATGGCCCTTGTTTATTTTTAGGGGAGTTGGATGGTTATCTGGCCATGCATTCTGTTCCCCTCCAGCTCCCAACATACTCATTTACACCAGAGCACTTGGGCGGATCAGTGGCCTGACTCTCGCCTCAATTTGCAGCTGTGTTCATTGTTCTGCTCCGGTGTAAGGGAATCTCTAGACTTCATCAGAGATTATTCATTTAATTTGTAAAGTGCTTTTATCAGACCCAAGGCGCAACAAAAAAAATACAATCTAGAACATAGAACGCAGACAACAATCAAAGCTATATACAGGTGTCGCCAGATCCAGAGGAAATTAGAACAGAATTAGTAGAGGTCTTTGAAAGCTTTTCTGAACAGCACAGTCTTGAGCTGTGCCTTAAAGGAGGACAGAGACTCTGCAGCCCTTATAGTGTCTGGAACACAGGAGGTTGGTGGCACCTTA